CCGGTGTACTCTGGGTTATCTTATCAGATACTACAACAATTTGTCGTTATGTCTGCCTCTTCACTTCGATGCGTCTGAAGCATGCTAGCCATTTCTCGCCAGCATTGCGTTCTACCTTCTTCCCTTCTTCCGTTGCACCATATACGGCATCCAAGATGGGACCCTTTCCTTCATTCCTTAGCTCTTGCTCCTCGACAAACTGGAAAGAGGATGAGCCTCAAGATGGGCACGCATCCACTGTGCAAGGTCCTCTACATCTGTGATTGTATAGACGATTCCACCTGGAGCGAGGACGTATGCGTATTCTGCAAGAAGGGTGGGTGAGATGATGCGAGCCTTGTGTTTGCGTGCTTTGAAGTGAGGATCTGGGAAAAGGAAGAAGAGAGCTGTGAGGGAAGCTTTTGGAAAGAAGTTTGGTAGGAATTTCATGGCGTTTGCGCGGAGGACAGATACATTTTGAATATGGGGTGGAAGTGGCGGCGGAGTGCGGTGATCGATCGTGGACGTATTGTGTGACTTGAACACGAAATTTCGAGACCTACGGATATAAGTAAGATATAAAGAAGGGAGAGTACTGACCAAGCATGAGTGTATCAGGGAATAGAGGGGCGAGAGTGATGAGGAAACCACCGAAACCACATCCTATATCTGCAAATGCTGGTGTTCCTTTTAAACCAGGATAATGAGTTGACCAATCGAATGTATCTGGTGATGATGGATAGAGTAGAGCAATGATCAGAGAATGGATTAGCGTGCGCTCGTTGTCTATAATGTTTTTTTCTATTTGATGATTAGATTTTGTTTGATATTAATTGAATTGAGTGAACTGACCTGTGGAAGAAGAGTAGGTCCGTTTCTCTTTCGTTTTAAGCATGGCTCGGTTCGCGATCAAGAGAGGGTGGTCTGATTTCCACTTGGTCCGATGTGTTCCGATATTTTCCTTACTTTCTACTTTTTATAATATAAATATAAATTTTCAATTTCAACTCCACTCTTCTTCACCCGCCATGGCTGCTACTCTCCGTAACCGTCTTCAACGTCGTATGTCTAATAACCATTTATACAATGTACATCTAACTTAAATCCTCTAGTCGCGTTCTCCAGTCCTTGCACGCACCTCAGTTCGATTCTCTTCAACAGCCTCAAGACAACTCACTTTGAAAGAACGTCTTGCAGAGCTCATCCCTGCAGAAATAGAAAAGGTTCATACCTTAATTATCGCCAATCACCCTCATTTCCATTTCGTCCCTAGGTAAATGCAATTCGCGCCGAGCATGGTAAAAAGGCTTTCGGTCCAGTAACAGTCGACCAACTCTATGGCGGTATGCGTGGTCTCCCAGCCCTCATTTGGGATGGTTCCGTCCTCGACCCAGGTCTGTCATCTTTTCTCTTTTTTTCCCTCCCCTCACCCTTTTTTCAGACGAAGGTATTCGTTTCCGTGGAAAGTCCATCGCCGAGTGCAAGGAGCTCCTACCCGCCGCTCCAGGTGGCACAGAACCTCTTCCTGAAGGTCTCTTCTGGCTCCTCGTCACCGGCGAGATTCCATCTAAGGAGCAGGTTACCGAGCTCAGCCGCGACTGGGCTGCCCGTGCCGAAATACCCGACTTCGTAAAGGAGATCATCGACCGCTGCCCTCCTACTCTCCACCCTATGAGTCAGTTCTCAATGGCAGTCACCGCACTCAACCATGACTCCGCCTTTGCCAAGGCCTACCAGGATGGTGTCTCTAAAAAGGAATACTGGGGTCACACTTTCGAAGACACGATGGATCTGTGAGCTTAAATGTTATATTCAGCTCGCTAAAAATACTCATCATCTATAGCATTGCCAAACTCCCTAACATTGCTGGTCGCATATACCGCAATGTATTCGGTGACGGAAAGCTCCCTCCCATCGACCCCAGCAAGGATTACTCTGCTAACCTCGCGACCCTCCTTGGCTTTGGTGACAACGCAGCTTTCGTCGAGCTCCTTCGTCTCTACATCACTATCCACACGTACGTCTTCCTCTTTTATACCAAACGAAGCATCACTCACACCACCCAAGCGACCACGAAGGTGGCAACGTCTCAGCTCACACCGGAAAACTCGTCGGCTCAGCCCTATCAGACCCCTTCCTTGCCTTCGGAGCCTCCCTAAACGGTCTCGCAGGCCCACTCCACGGCCTCGCAAACCAAGAAGTCCTTCTCTGGCTCCGCAAAATGCAATCCCAAATCGGCGAAAACGCAACCGACTCCGCAGTCAAAGACTACGTCTGGTCCACCCTCAAAGGCGGCCAAGTCGTCCCAGGCTATGGACACGCCGTCCTCCGCAAAACCGACCCCCGTTACACCGCACAACGCGAATTCGCGCTCAAAAACCTCCCTGATGACCCCCTCTTCAAACTCGTCGGCCAGATTTATAATGTCGTGCCTGATATTTTGTTGGAGGCGGGTAAGGCTAAGAACCCGTGGCCGAATGTGGACGCGCATTCGGGCGTGCTTTTGACGCATTATGGGTTACATCAGATGCAGTTCTATACGGTGTTGTTTGGTGTGAGTAGGGCGTTTGGTGTGGCTGCGCAGTTGATTTGGGATCGTGCACTTGGTGCTCGTGAGTATTTTCCTTTCTTCTTGATTGAGTGAGAGACTGAATGTGTGTGTTAGCTTTGGAACGTCCGAAGTCGTACTCGAGTGAGGCGATTCAGAAGATGTTCAAGGATAGGCAATAGTTGCTCGTTTTGGTTTTTGTTGTTGTTCGCATATCCTTATGGCTACATGATTCTTAGACTATCGTAAATCCATGCAGCAATGCTATTCCGGGGGTTATATGCAATCATTGGGTGATGATGGATGCAGACTTGACCTGCAGTGATATGTTTCTGTTGGGATACTGACGAGTTCAGTGTGTATATCTATCAAGAATAGAGCGAGGTTCGTTGCTACCTATCAGTATGACGACCGTCAACTTATTAGTCTCCAGTCTCTAGCTGTTTCGTGATACTAAACTGCAACTAAAGTTTTATTAGTCCCTGAGTAGTGACGTTTCATATACCACTCAACCTATCCCTGATACAAGTCAAGTTAGTCTCTAACCTCCTACCTAATCCTAATCGCATCTACCGATGATATCCTATAAAGTACCACCAGCATACTTGTAGCTTTTCCACCTAAAACAAGTACGCGAAATGATATCCGCTCTTATCATTATGCGTCAAGTTCGTTTCGACGAGGCTACTATTGTCATTACTACTTATCCCGAAGGTACATCGTCTTCCACTAATCCAGAGGGCACATCATCTTCCACCAATACTCTCCGCCCTTGCAAGAAACGTCCCCACGAATCCCACAGGCCCATAGTATACTACGGCTACGTATCCGGTTTTTTAAATTTTGTTAGTGGAATCTTTCGTAGAATAAATGGATAAAATACATCTATGGCATCTCTTCAGTGTCTGCCCGACGGATGGATGATATCATATGACAGAATTTTACAACTCGCATAGGGGCCTCGTCTGGGGAATCTAGCTGATTCGCTACTCAATCAATTCCGTGACTTTTATTCAAGTTCCTGCCTCATTCTAACGTCTTCGAAATTCCTCCCTATGTCTCTCACAAACACTTCCTATAGTACAACTATGCCCACGCTTCTCGACAATGAGTTCCTCAAAGGCGATGTTCTGCAGATGATTAATGGTCTCGAAACCACCGATACCTTGATCTATCACGCGATGGCCGCACTCAGGGGGACCGAATCAGCAACAATCACGATCGCACAGCAGACGATCAGCGTGTATAATTGTTGCACGCTATGCTACAAGGTGCGGTTCATACTGGCAGTGAACGTTATACCGCGTCTACCATCATTGTGGCCCGTTAAATAGGCCGCTTGTCCGACTCTACGTTACTAACTCACCTAGCGCACGATTGGGGTTTCTTCTTCTTGTGGCCCGGTATGCATTCCACACTATCCGGAGCTTATTTCGACGGAATTACAACTCGCGCAGGGGAATCTAGTGGGCGCGTCAGAATTTCCCGCGACCAGAGGTCTCAAAACGACAAACAGCAACGAGCGAGACAGCACTACACGCTAAAACCTCTCAAACCGCATGTTTACAGCAAACTGGCCTATAAATCCCCAGAACTTAAACTCGAGTACTCGAGTACTGAGGAAGATGGGAGACGTAGTATGGTAGTATGGTCGAGACGCGTATTCCAACAGCACATATGATCGGTGACCTGCGAGACGAATACTCTGCACATGCCATACGCGATACGGGAGATCAACCTAGGTTCGAAAGTCGTGCATGCGGGAGTAAAACACTCGCATCGTCCTGATGATTTCCCGTGGTTCCAGAGCATGGGGATGAGACATTCACGATGCTCCAAAGACCAGCCACGACATGCTCGAGTGGGGGGTACAACACCCACATAGAAATGAGTACGATGCTGAGCATCTTGAGATATGTCATCACGTAACCGTGTGCATCATCAGCAACAAAATATTGGTGAAAGAGCAAAGGTCTGCTGGCACCGTAAATGACATCTGATTGAAGGGCATTTCAGGTGGATAGGTCCGGCGTAGATATTTGAGGTCTGCTGGCAATTTGTTGGTATTATAAATGTCATCTCCTCGAAGGGGATGATAGGTTTCGCCTACATTCTCGCCACGGAGTTCTGCCAGAAGAGTGCTTCCGGAACATAAAAGGCCGTCTTCATGCCATGCCCCCGGGCCCCCACCCTCTTCCCGAGATCCCATATCCCATATCACATCGCACAATAATGCGTTTCTCCTTTGTCCTCGCCGTCGTTGCTGCTTTGACAACATCTATGTCTGTCAGTGCATACGGTGATACATGTCCTGATTCTTGCGACAATGGTTATTGCTGCCCTGGCTATGAATGCGACGAGTTTTACGACCCTGTTACTTTTGTGAATATCAGTTGTTGGCATTTATGATTTAACTCCATGACTCACCGGCCTGGCAGAAAATTATAAAAATGGTTTGTGTCCCTTCGTAAAAAGACTGACACGTCGCGGTGAGTCATGTTCTGCTTCCACATTGGTGCACAGCGCGGCTGATGTCATGATACATAAGTAGTTCGCTGTTAAGTTGATCAAGATGCTTGTTTCTGGATAAATTCCACGACCGCTTGAGCAACCTTGGAATAGAGAACTGAAGAACTTACGACGTATTATTTTGGCCTTGTTGTAATAAGTCTGAACTATAGACTCGCAACCATTCTGCCTAGGGCCTAGGCCCTACGCGTGCTTTTGAGGACTTGATGATGCTACATAGTGCAGGATATGCCGGCAGCGCACTGAGAGCCGCGTTATACTGTGTGCCGAATTGATACCGACGAGTTTCCTTTTATGATCACCTCACGCCCCGCACACGATTCTTAATCACTACCCACCACAAGCTACATACCTCCTGCTTGACGCAATTATAACTACATGGCACTAGGCAGAATCGTACATTATGCTGTTGACGCAGTACTAGTTTCAACTGTCGTCGCTGGCATCCGGCGGTCGAGTGGATTTGCGTGAGTGTCTCATGCTTCATGTCCCGCGCCTCAACATTAACGTGAATGGCACCTGTTTTCGTTGTCCCTCATTGGCTCGTGCACTCTTCAGAGTTGACACCACTCTGATATCAGACCCCACCATGCGCTCATTTGCAGATCGTTTCCTCGGCGTTGGAGAAACCATATTCGACATGGCCGCAGCTACGTCTGTTAATAGCGAGTATTTCAGGAAGGACTCGAGGAGATAGCAGGCGACGTCGTATACGTATGAGTGAGATGGTGGACATGAAGGTCTGGCAGTCGTACTCCTACTAGAGATGAACCTCTCATGTCTTAGCAGAATCAAATAGTCGACTGACGTGTCTCGTTGTTTAGAGTGAGACACGATCTTAGTGCCGTCAACTGTCCACGGAGAAAAGTCGGAAGTAGTGCTCATGAACTTTTATTACGTTAGTATATAAAGGATCGACTGTCTTCCTTCGTCTAAGCTCTCTGCCTAGGGGAGGTTATAGAATGTCGTAATCCCCTCCCAATCTCTAGGAAACATGTCAATCTACCCCCAGCGCGTTTACGCAGAGCACAGGCGTCATAGCGAACAGACTCAAGGATGACGTTCATCCAGCCTCTAACCAGCAGCCTTCCTCGACTATGACTCACATCGAGTACTTACAGATACCACATAACAACTGCAAATGAGGGTCCGACGGGTTGAAGCCGATATACATGTAACATTGAGTTCGCTGGGAAGTATTGCAAGTTCACAAATAGTGTCAACGAGGCGTTTATGCTCGGTATCGCTGAGTAACATCACGCTTCTGCTAAGTACAATATAGTACTCACACGGGCATGTACAGAGCCATCCTGTGCGAGTAAACTCATTAATCCACCACTTATGCTATTGTTTGTTAGTAGGAACAAATACCAGGCTATCGTAGTTCTGCCGACTTCTGCCAACCACCCTCGACCTACTGCCGGCAATTGCCACTGGTAGAAATATTCATTCTGCCAACAACACTGGACATCTCCCTACGTCCGGGGGGCTGCTCGTCAAAGTTGCGAAAGACGGACACAACGAATCCCCTGTTACTTTCATACCGCGGTTCTGATGCCATCGCTACCATGTTAGCCGGGAATGGCGAGCTGCGCGATATCCAGGAAGCACCTACGGAAAGAAACCAACATGACCGTCCATGGTACCTGCCGGCCTATGAGTTACTTTGTTCAATGAAGATGTATGGGTGTGACGTACGCGCAAGCGATCATGTCGCCCACCTCAGTGGCACTGGATACTTTATTGCCCCCCACTGTGGCTGGGCACTGTGTACACGCATTGGCGCCAGCGAGGAAGATGAGCAGCGCAAAGATGACGGAGCGGGAAGCAAACATGATAGAGCCGGTGGAAGGGAATGAGGCAAAGCCATAGTAGCAAGCAGGTGTTTTATAGGCTGAAACTTCCAGTGCGAACATAAAGGAGCTGAGTGCCCTCCTGTGGGCAAAAATAGTTCAGCCAAAGTCCATGATAATCTCCGCAGACTCGAGAAGAACTGCGAACATTATGAGAAGTTCATGTGGGAAGTACTCAAAGGGAGATGTGCGGCACGATGGGGTTGTGGGACACGAATGAATCTGCAGGTCCTGGGTGGCCTTGGCTTCGCGTTGCTCGCCAAATTTGTGCATGTCCATCGGACATTGTGACTTGCCAAACGATACTCTCCGTAGTATGACCATCCTTGAATCGATGAAGCTCAGCACGGCCTCATATATCCCCAAACTGCTGCGCAACGTTTGAGTTTCGGTCTCCCGCAGAAGGTTCATGGTCAACAAGACGGAACTTCGTAGGGTACGGTTGGAAAGTCGATGTTTATAAACAGGTGTTAAATATTCCGGTAATTAACTGATTATAACACTGTTGGAAATTGTGAAAACTTGTGGTCTTGCAGGGCCGACTCCGCCGTCCGGACAACTTCGTATAGCTGCAAAACCGAGGCCTTGCTACCGTCACGGAAGGCATGAGCAGGATCATAAATAAGGCTGATGTCGATCGCGGACGTGCCGGGGCTTTCTGCCGAGTATATGGGGCGGCAAGGGGTGCCAGGCTGAAGATGGCTATCGCTTGGGTGTGGTTACCAAGACTTCGGAGTGAAATGGATGACATACTAGTAGAGGCCAGGAAGTTTTGACCCAGAGTTTCAGGCAATTCCGAGAAGTTCGCAATAAGAAAAACGTTGAGAGTATGGAATCTGTAAGGCAAAAATACATGCATCAAAGAGTGGGGAGATTGGACCGGCTTTTCGGGAATTTTTCAGTGAACGTGCCATCAGATGCGCTATGGTTTAACGTTTAACAGTTGCTCCAGTGTCTCCTTACATGATATTGAATTTTGCACCCACTGAAAATCTCAATCTAAGTTTAAAGTATTTTCTTTGCAGTTCATACAACATTCAAGGTGCTCTTAAATATTGATAACCCCGATGTGACAAGTGGGTTGGGATGATGCAACTGGCCGAGACAAGATAAGACAATTCTTGTAATAAATGGTGTCCAAGTACTGGTGTATATGGATGAGCATTGCTCCTCTTGTTGGGTGTCTCGTCCCCCCCATCTTTTCACATCACGTTCAGAAGTCCTTCAGCTTCTTCACAGTTTTTCTTTCTTTCTTTAAATCAAATTTATTGTTCTTTGGGGTCTACAGTGGAGTCCCGTTGTGTCGGACAAATCCCTCTTTCAGGGGGTTTTTTCTTCATAATTGTTGCTGAAGACGGACACCGCGAGTCTGCTTCAATGCTGTTACCGGACACCTGATACCATCGCTACCATGTTAACTGAGAATGCACGATATCCAGAAAGCACTTACAGAAAGAAACAGACATTCCACTTTGCTGGCGCGACCCTTCCCAAGGTACCTGCTGGCCTATGAGTTACTTTGTTCAATGAAGATGTATGGGTGTGACGCGCTTGCAAGATAAGATCCCGCCGTTTAACACAGTGGAACTGGATAGTTTAATGCCCCCCACTGTGGCTGGGCATTGTATACACGCATTGGCGCCAGCGAGGAAGATGAGCAGCGCAAAGATGACGGAGCGGGAAGTAAACATAATGGAGCCGGTGGAAGGGAATGAGGCAAAGCCATAATAGCAAGCAGGTGTTTTATAGGCTGAAACTTCCAGTGCGAACATAAAGGAGTTGAGATGCCCTCCTGTGGGCGAAAACAGTTCAGCCAAAGTCCATGATAATCTCCGCAGACTCGAGAAGAACTGCGAACATCATGAGAAGTTCATGTGGGAAGTACTCAAAGGGAGATGTGCGACACGATGGGGTTGTGGGGCACGAATGAATCTGCAGGTCCTGGGTGGCCTTGGCTTCGCGTTGCTCGCCAAATTTGTGCACGTTCATCGGACATTGTGACTTGCCAAACAATACTCTCCGTAGTATGACCATCCTTGAATCGATGAAGCTCAGCACGGCCTCATATATCCCCAAACTGCTGCGCAACGTTTGAGTTTCGGTCTCCCGCAGAAGGTTCATGGTCAACAAGACGGAACTTCGTAGGATACGGTTGGAAAGTCGATGTTTATAAACAGGTGTTAAATATTCCGGTAATTAACTGATTATAACACTGTTAGAAAGTTGCTCCGTAATTTGGCCTGTTGGAAATTGTGAAAACTTGTGGTCATGCAGGGCCGACTCCGCCGTCCGGACAACTTCATATAGCTGCAAAACCGAGGCCTTGCTACCGTCACGGAAGGCATGAGCAGGATCATAATTAAGGCTGATGTTGATCGTGGACGTGCCGCCGGGGCTTTCTGCCGAGTATATGGGACGGCAAGGGATGCCAGGCTGAAGATGGCTATCGCTTGGGTGTACCAAGACTTCGGAGTGAGATGGATGACATACTAGTAGAGGTCAGGAAGTTTGCATCGGAAGACCCAGAGAGGCAATTCCGAGAAGTTTGCAATAAGAAAAACGTTGAGAGTATGGAATCTGTAAGGCAAAAATACATGCATCAAAGCGAGTGGGGAGATTGGACCGGCTTTTCCAGTGAACGTGCCATCAGATGCGTCATAATTTAACAGTTGCTCCAGTGTCTCCTTAGCGTCCTGGCTTACATATGTCGAGTTTAATCTTTTTTACACAAGTCTAATTGGTTGATACTTACGACTAAGCTTTTCACGTGCGGGCCTACCTTAGGGCCAGTTTCCCTTTGCCTTTGTGGCACGCGCTCTGGGCGCTCTCGGCTTGTCGATCATGCCGAGCGATCTCAATGATCTCGACCTCTACCTGACATGACTGAGCAATTAGGAGGCAGCACCCCTTCTCATCTGCTCGTCGTCGTGTCAGTGCTTAACTTTTCGACTACTAAACATATCATCGAAATTCAATTTCTCATCAATGATTGATAATGCTGAAGAATCATTGCAAACTCGTCACTCCTCACCAGGAAGTGACCATCATTCTGACAGATCTGAATCCTTCAATTCAGAGGTCATCGAACAATGTATCAAAACCATCATTAACTACCGAAAACAAAGAATTTCAAAAGGAGAAGCAATTCTTCGCATTCACCGCAAACTCGCAGTTGCGACCGACAATGAAGATAGTCCAACCTTTAAATCCGGATTCAATCACTATCTTGAACTCCTCGACGATGCACACAAGGATGATGAAATCGGGGAGAGTTCCCGAGAACATGGACAGACACATTCGGAGCGTGGGGATGAAATCTCTGAAAAGGGGTTGAGGTCACAATGAAGAATTAGAAGAGGAATTGACAGGTCAAAAGAAACAGAAGATGATGACAATTCAGACGCTGAATCAGGGGAGGAGTTTGTGCAGCAGCAAAAAAGAAGAAAGGTCCCAGGCGATCAAACCAATTTCTTCCCCTGGCTCAACCCTGACAAGTACCGACACTGTTCATCAGATGAGAGTCTCAAACTTACCCT